TGATGATTCACCACACCCCACGCCTTTCCAGTATCATGTTAGCTACACTCAGTAGAGTTCAAATTCTATTTTGCCCTTATGTTGTGTCAGCGATGCAGGATCAATGCGGGGAAGGGCAATCTCCAAGTCAGCAGAAGATACCACGCAAAGATTTTAAGATACTGCTGCACAATTGGCGCACCCGGGACATTCATGGATACTTCATGCTGCACAACACATGGCACCAAGACAAAATCCGGCTCAACCAAATACACATCTGCTACGCATCACCAAATTTTGTAGAAAGACAAGTGGGTAAGTTGCTACAACAAATGCTTGTTCATCTTTATTTCCCACTCATCGCATCTTCTAGAAAATAAACTCACACCGCTTGCAATCTCTTCCTGAATCCTAATTTAAGTTAACATACTTTTAGGTAATTGAATACTTGTGTTACAGACGCTGGGGTGAAATGAGCAGTATCACCGAACCAATCGAGCAAGCGCTAACCAGCCAAAAATTGGGAATGTTGGGGAATGCATGCAATTACCACCTTCATTGAAAGATTGGCATTTGTGCTATGCTCGATCAGGCACTCCAATTCCCAGTTGAACATTCGTAGAAATGGCATACGATTCTGCTGTGTGGAACCAAACCACTGTGTCCAGGATCATCACTGACATACAAACTTATGCCTGACTGATACCATTTGAAGCACCTATATCATCCAGTCAGACTGCTTACTGCTGGGTGATTGAGCGTACTATGAACACAGTGAACTGTACAACCTGATGTTGAAGGCTTTGGTATATAGAAGCAGGTGTGCGCAATCGTGCTGTACGCCTCGATCTTTCACACCAAGCGTTGATTACCAGCACAAAGTAGATACTGCATGCATGAGCGCACTACCAGCACTGTCCACTGCTATTCTAGTAAGCAGTATGCGGATAATCCTGGACTGGTCCACAACGTGTGCATTGGTTATTGCTGGCTACATAACATGGAGTGTGTGCTTGTCAGTGCATGCAGCACATCTGAGATGGAATGCCATTGCACACTTGTGAGGTCGGAAGTCTCAAGTTAATACTAAACTTCCCTGCATAAGGCCTGGATGACTAGGGGTTAAGAAGGGTGGAAGATGTGTGATTAGGGGCACAAATCATCGTTAGGTGTAACTTGGAATAACATCCCACTATTTGCTGAGTCCCGATGCTTCAGTTGATTCTAAAATACAGTTAAAAATATTTTCATTTCAGGTACTAATATGTATAGTAACAAAGTCATCCAATTCATCAATTTAGAACAGTTTATTCATTCATCTGATGTGCGGTGGCAACAGTTGTGATGCCACTGCTTCGTGTCACCAATTAGGCGGTAAGTCACGTGGGGGAGGTGATGGGAGTGAAAACATATGTGGAGTCATGACTTGACCCCCATGCGTGTTGACTGCATCACAGCATGACACGGACGCAACTATCAGCGGTTTTGTCAGAATAAACTTATACCACATCTGTGAGGATGTTTTGATTGCAATAGGGTGGTGAGTTCTACACGACATAAAGAACATCGCCAACCGTATTTGAAATAGGGCTTTAAGGAATGTAATTTTGCAGGAGTTAGGAAGCGTTGCAAATATCATCGTGCCATGTTGAAATAAATGTGGATGAGCCCTGAAGTGGGAACGACCTAGCCGGCAAAATTGCATAAGCCCATAATCAGTGACTTATTGACGGTTATTGCGTGGTTATAAATGTTGAAGAAGGCTGGGTTATTCACCTCGAAGGAGTGCAGGAAGTAGGCCGTGTTTTTCATTCACATACACCACTACGTGTTGCTGACAATGGTGGAAGGGTTGGACAGCGATGCCGAGCAGTTGAATGACACGAAAAGTGTGAATAAGGGGCAAACGGCACCGATGATCTCCTGATTGCAGTGGAATGCATTGCCTCTAACAGTGGACTCTCCCCACATGGCGGATTCCTTACCTGCTGCTGCAGCAGGAATCGGGTGAAGGTAAACTGCTGCTGGGCCAAGATTCGACTTGAAGTAGTGCATATTAGAATGCGAAAGAAATGAACTACATGAGAACAGTCAAATGAAAGGTATGGCGAAGTCACACTTGCAATGCCTTCATAAAGCAAACGTCAGCTAAAGATGGTAAAACAGAGGGACAGATATGAAGGTATCGTATCCAGTTCCAAAACGGTAGCAACATGGCAGTTAAGTGGCATAGGGAAAGGGTGAAATTATACAAATTCACCAGTCACACAATGAGTAGGCGATCAAGGCCTGTCACACCAATGCTACATGTCCATTGTACCGCATTGAATACGCAGTCATGCGTTTCACTTTTTTGCTGTGAAAAGCATCGCTTT